AGCCCCCCCCCCGCATCACTGACGTCCCCCCCCGGCTCTCAGTCAGCTGCTCGCAGGGAACGTATTACCACGGGCAGACGGAGCAGTGCGTGCCCTGCCCCGCCGGCACCTACCAGGAGAAGGAAGGGCAGCTCTCCTGCGACCTGTGTCCCCGCGGGGACGCGTTCGGACCCGTGGGAGCCACCAACATCACCGGCTGCACGGGTAAGGGGGGTACGGGGGGGCGCTGGGAGGCACTCGGGCTTGTCCAGGGCTGCAACCTCAACCATCAGCCCTCAGCCCCCATCCGGAAGAGGGGAAAGCCCTGAGCATCCCCAGGAGTTGTGGGTTTGGGGGTTTATCATTTCGAGGGGACCTGCTCTGGATATAGTGATGCTGCCAAGGCTGGGGGGGCAGGGGGGGAGAGGAGCCGGGCACAGGGCGGGAGAGCCCTGGGCGTTCGGGGTGCCAGGACTGAGCACTGCCTGTGCCCGCAGGTCAGTGTCCCCCCGGCCAGCACTCGGCCGATGGCTTCAAGCCCTGCCAGCCGTGTCCCCGTGGGTCCTACCAGCCCGAGGTGGGGCGGGCGCTCTGCTTCCCCTGCGGCGGGGGGCTGACCACCCGCCACGAAGGAGCCCTCTCCTTCCAAGATTGTGACACCAAAGGTAGGTCAGAGCCGGTCCCTGGCGAGGGGGGGGGCACCCAACAGGGGTCGTGCCGGTGGCTGACGCAGCCCCCTTTCCTCTCTGATCCCCCCCCGCAGTTCAGTGCTCCCCTGGGCACTACTACAACACGAGTGTCCACCGCTGCATCCGCTGCGCCGTGGGCACCTACCAGCCCGATTTTCGGCAGAATTATTGCATCTCCTGTCCTGGCAACACCACCACCGACTTCGACGGCTCCACCTCCGTGTCCCAGTGCAAAAGTAGGCGAGCTGGGGTCCGATGGAGGCAGGGGGACAGGCATGGCGTGAACTGGGATCCTCAAAAGTATATACAAATCCCCTAAAGTAGAGTTTGGGGTCATTTCTGTGCGTTATGCGTGCAGGCAGGCCAGAGGGATGGACGGAGCAGTGCTAATAGAGCACTTCCCCCCTTGCCCAGTAAACTCCCACCCTCCCAGTGCTCATTGCACTGGTTCCCAGTTGAACTGGCTCTCCATACCTTGCAGACCGGCAGTGCGGGGGGGAGCTGGGCGAGTACACAGGCTACATCGAGTCCCCCAACTATCCGGGGAATTACCCCGCCAACGTGGAGTGTACCTGGAACATCAACCCCCCGCCCAAGCGCAAGATCCTCATCGTGGTGCCGGAGATCTTCCTCCCCTCCGAGGATGAGTGCGGCGACGTCTTGGTCATGCGGAAAAACTGTAGGTAACCGAGCGCGCCGTGGTGCTCAGGGGAGAGGCTGGGGGAGGAAGAGGCTGGGGTTTGGCAGAGCTGCCCTGTGTGAAGGGAAGAAGCTGTGTCCCCCAGCGGCAGGAGGGGATCTTAGGGAACTGGGTGAGCAGGGAGATCGGCACCGCCCTGCCACCCCAGTGACTTGCTGGATCAGGGGGACGTGCATGGGCAGAGCGTGGGCTGGGTTGTACACCCAGGTCTCAGCACTCCTTTTTGGGGGTCAAAAGCCCCATTTGGAGCTTTCCAGAGCAAGGAAGGAATAACAACGTCCCTGGTATGCAACGTGAGGGTTGAGGGGGGGCTCAGCCTTGCTGAACATGGACAATCCCCACCCTTGGTGACCCCTTTGCCCTGAGCATTTAAGCATGGTAAACCTGGAGATAGCTCTGCCGATGGGCCCCCGGCTTCACGTGGCCCCTCGCCGTTCCCCTGCAGCCTCCCCATCCTCCATCACCACCTACGAGACGTGCCAGACCTACGAGAGGCCCATCGCCTTCACCGCCCGCTCTCGGAAACTGTGGATCAACTTCAAAACCAGTGAAGCCAACAGTGCCCGGGGCTTCCAGATCCCCTACGTCACCTATGATGGTGAGCACAGGGCACGGGGGGACACCATCCCAGCGTGCCGGTGCCCCCCTGCCCAGTTTGGTACCTGGGTCACCCCCAATTCACCTCTCCCACGTGTGTGGGGGGAGTGGACTCAGGGATGGGGACCAGAGGTTTGGGAACAAGTGACAGCTCGTGCCCTGACGGTGTTTCCCGGTTGGTGTTGCAGAGGACTATGAGCAGCTGGTGGAGGACATCGTGCGGGACGGGAGGCTCTACGCCTCCGAAAACCACCAGGAGATCCTCAAGGTGAGAGTGTCCCCGCCAGATCCTCGCTGCCTGGGGCTCAGGGGGGTGCCAGTGTGCAGGAGCATCCTTCTCTTCGGGTGTACCCCCGGGCTGTGCCCATGGCTTTGGTTTGGAGCAGGGCAGGGGGAGCACAGGGTGGGATGGTGATTCCCCCCCCCACACACCTCTGGCTTGGCATCCCTGCAGGACAAGAAGCTCATCAAAGCTTTCTTCGACGTGCTGGCGCACCCCCAGAACTACTTCAAGTACACGGAGAAACACAAGGAGATGCTGCCCCGCTCCTTCATCAAACTCCTCCGCTCCAAAGTCTCCAGCTTCCTCCGGCCTTACAAATAGCCCCCCCATGCCCCCGCTGCCCCCGGGCCGCCCCACAGCCAAGGAAACCCTCTTCTTCCTTCCTTCTCCTTTCCGATTTTCTCCTTCCTCCACTCGGCTCCGGCAGGACCACCACCCCTCACTCCGCAGACGTCCCCCCACGATTTCTCCGTTGCTCCCCGCAGAGCTGTGCCCCCGGCCGGGGCAGGGGGAGGATGCTCCAGTCTCATCCAGCCACCAGCGAAGCCGCTCCTCTCTTCTGACGCAGCTTCTTCGTTTTAGGAAACCGAAGCACT